TTTAATTTTTGAGGACCAACAAGTAACGATCAGATATAATTTTTACATCTCAATTTTTTTTTGCGTAGTTCAAAAGAGGTTAAAATATCGATCGATTTTATTTATTTTATGTCTCAAAGAAAGAGGATCAATCATTAAATTAGATGACCATTTAGATTTTTTTATATGCCGTTTTTGCTAATTTAAAAAGATCATTTAAATACATGCCCTTATAAAACACAGTGTTGCCAAACACATCTTCCTTATTTTTCCTTTGAACTGACGACTAAGGTCTACTGTCCACATGAACCGCACGTCATACGCACGCTATGGTTATACGCTGTAGGTTTCGCGCATTCGTCCAATGACAGATCGTGGACAGTGTGCCTAATCACAGAGCAAAGTAATGCCTAAATCAACTTCTTACCTTGCATTTGCAGCAAGTTTTAAAACGCACAGCTCAACCAACTTCCCACAGTTCAACCAACTTAACCTTAATAAGTACCAATGGTATACTTCCAGGTCCCTATCCGAAGGCGACAACTCAGTCTTCTCAGAAGGCGTCACTACTCCCTTGGAGCCCAACGCAGGCGCCAGCGAAGACAAAGACCAGGAGAACGCCAGCGGGAATGAGTCGGAAGAAGTGGACGACATAGAGCTCATATTCACCACTGACGAGTCTAAGGATATGAGCAATTTGCAGGTGAGATATAGTAGCACCCTGTGTCCCCTGGGCCACACATATCGTGATAACATTCGGGCGACATTGATTTGACAGTTGAGCAAAGATTTGAGACTGCAAAAAAGCATCGAAATATACCCGAAAAGGCTACACAAATCGCAATAGCGCGAATCTTAGGGTTATCGCGATTTGTATGACCCAGGGGTTGTTAGTGAGACAAGATCATAATTTTGAATTCTAACATTCTAATCCAACCGGCATCCAAAAGGCACTGTGATTCGTTCAGTACTTGCTAGGATTAACAGACACAGCACAGGGTAGTAGACCCACCAGTCTTCTTCACCAGTTCTTTATGGCAATCTACCACTAGTCAATTGACACACTTTTTCTGTGCTTTCTACTACCTATCTAATCTTTGAAGGCGATACTTTCAAGGCAATCCGTAGCCAGCGATCTCTGTTTCTCCTATTAATGTCACATAGCAGATAAATCTAATATCACTTGTTATATTTCCAGGAGGATCTCGTGTCCATTCGCGACACAGACAACTGGGGACCTTCCTCTGCGTCCACCCACTCCACACCCGTTCTCATCAAGTTCCACACCTTGGATCCCGACTTCCAACCGGGAGGGGACGACAAAGACATCTCTGGTACCGAAAACCAAGAAAACACTGACCTACAAGGAGTTATCGCCGAGTCCTCCCTTAGAAACAAAAGAGTGTCGCTACCTAGTGACAAGGATATTAGACACGTCGCATTCAACGGCAAAGGCAGCCTAGATTTACCCAGTCGAGGGATTCTGAAGAGTTACGAAAACAAATCCGATAATATGCTGTACAAAAAGAGTCCTAATACCAGCACACGAAGGTTGGACAGTGTTGACAGTCTGACGTGCGAGTACAACCGCGGCCTAAGTTTCGACAATACTAAGTCTTCTAGCTTTGAGTTAGGGTCTAGTATGGATATTCTGCATAGGGAAGAGAGTGTGGACAGCTTTCACAGGACTGGCCACTTCGGGCATAGGTTTTCTGTGTTTGCTGAGACGGATATATCGAAGTGCGGCATTTCGGAGGACGATCTCGCCGCCAATTTGAATGTGAGGAGGAATACTTGCCCCAATCCGTTTCAATACAGGTAAGCTCTAGGACATACTTTTTTGATAGGTGATCTCCTTATAATACTGCTCTAGTTAGTGTTTTTAGTTACAATAATGTTGAAAAAAGTAACAGTTCACAATCATTCATTACTGCACAAAAAATAATATGTTGTATTATAAAAGAAAATGAGCTTATGTTGCAAATTCGCTTTCAAGAAAATAAGATGCCACATCTAAATAGCAGTTGGATTTATCATTTTAAATACATTAGGTAGTTTCTCTAGCCGTATCATCCAGTTCCGATAATAAATGGGCGCATTATAGCTGTTGCAATTCACGATGGCTAGAGATGGGTTTGTAGCCAGCTAGTTTGGATAATAACTGATTATTATCTATTAATAGCCATTATTAGCCATCCATTGGCTATTAACCCTGCTATTAATAGTTTCTTACGTTTTTTCTTCCACCTTTAAAATCAAATCAATATTAAAATCAAATATTACTCAAAGAAACAAAAAAGAACTAAAAAACATCAATGTAATTTATATAAACGACATTGTAGTTAAAAAAGAATCTATCTAAA